CTCTCCTCTCTAGTTATGTATCCTCCATTCCTGCTGAGAGGGACAATCCTGGAAAAGGAGCTACAGCCCTTCAGGTATTGTATCCATACCTCTGAGTCTATGTGTTTATGCAAATTTTACTCACTTGTTTTTGAGACGAAGAAAAACAAAAACAAAAACCAGCTTCTGGCTTCACCTTTAGAACTAAAAATCTGGTTGATCTAATATGCTAGACATTTCAGCAATCTCTGGCCCAACACAGAGTAGGGAGCTGCTGTTCTCTATATTCCTGGCCCAGCTGAATCACAGCATCATAGCATTCAAGCGCCCTCAACCGTATTCAGCCCAATGTGTTTAAAACTGTAGGTTATGGCCAGGCACGATGGCTCACACCTGTAATCCCAGCACTTTGGGAGGTTGAGACAGGTGGATCACGAGGTCAGGAGTTCGAGATCAGCCTGACCAACGTGATGAAACCCCGTCCCTACTAAAAATACACACACACAAAAAAATCAGCCAGGCGTGGTGGTGGGTGCCTATAATCTCAGCTACTCAGGAGGCTGAGGCAGGAGAATTACTTGAACCCTGGAGGCGGAGGGTGCAGTGAACCAAGATCGCGCCACTACACTCCAGCCTGGGCAACAGTGCGAGACTCCATCAACAAAAACAAAAACAAAAAGAAAAGCACGGGTTATGACCCCTCAGCAGGTCACAGAATCAACTGAATCATTCACCATCATTCACAATCAGCATCTTTCAACTGAAACAACAGCATAGGAAATAGAGTACTGCGTACTGAAAGGGTTGCTGCATGGAACTTTTGTTTAATCACATACATGGACATAAGTATTGGGTTGAGAAAGAAAAGGTATTTCTTATTGTGGGTTTCAGGGGAAAAAGCTTTTAAAAGCCCCCGATTGATCTAGCTAACTCCACCCTATCATTGATGAGGAAACCGAGGCTCAGAGAACAGCATGGTCAGGCCGCTCAGAGAATGTGCAGCCAGGTGAGGTGGTTCTCAGTTCATGCAGCCTGCAGACTTTACTTTTCTTCTAAGCAGCTCTGGCTCTGGCTATAGGCATTGGGATTCTGGGATGCTAAGTAGCTGGCTCCTCAGTTCCTAAGAGCTGCACTCAAGTGGTCTCTAGTGCCATTGAGATTTTCCCCAGCAGAGTAACCCTTAGCACTAGATCTCCTGAGGCTGACCAGGAGGCCCTGGGAAGAGATGCCAGCCAAGGCCCCCCATTCCCACAGCCTGGTAGTGGGTTTGGGCCCAGCCTCCACATCTCATTCTCTCTTTATAAAGTCTCAAGCAAACTGCATGACTGGGACTTTATAAACTTGGAGTCTTCCTCAAGCTGAGGCTCCGGCAAACAACTAGATCTTTCTGAGCAGATGCTTCCACTCTGTAGCCAGCCTTCCGGTCTCTACAGGTGGTCTAGGCCCGGGACTATTGGAAAATGAGGGAGTGAGGGTGTGCTCTGTGAGAGGCTGGGACAGGGGAATGGCTCCTCTTGACGATGTATGGAAACCCTTTTTTTTTTTTTTTTCAATTAAAAATAGCATAGATCACAGATGAGAAACTAACTGGAACTATATAAAAATACAACTATTTTTTTTTTCCCAATGGGAACTGCTTAGATAGAAGCTAACATTCCCTGAAAACTATTTGTCAAGCATTGTGCTAGGGGCTTCACACACATGACCTCCCTGGATAGTATAGTAGTTATCTCACTTGATATAAAATAAAGTTCAGTGATACAGGTGAATGTATTAATGACATACACAGAGCTATCACTTCTACAGTGCTTATTCTATTCTAAGAATTTTGTATGTTATTTGATCTCATTATCAACTCGATACAGTTGGTGCTATTCTCATCCCCACTTTGTGGATTATGAATTGAGGTAAGAAAGGCTACATGACATGCCCACACTCGCACAGATACTAAGTGGTGGGGCCAGGGCTTGAACCCAGATGGTCCAAGCTTTGGACCCTCCTAATTGCCTCCACTACACTGGTTATGATTCCTTCCACTTTCTGGTGCAGAAGCAGAGACTCGGGAAAGTTAAATCATTTGTGTCCACTCCACCCAGAAGCTCTCCACATACACCAGAGGGATGGAAAACATATTTAACAATGGGTAAGGCGGGTCCATGACCTTCAGAAGGGGCACCATTGACTAGGCTGGAGACCTCCTGCTACGCTGGAGACTGAGCCATTTTATGGGCTGCTTCAAGGGGAAACCCAGAAGCTTTCAGAGAAGGGATAAGGTAACAGGGACACTCACAGCACTTAGGGCAATGTCTACTTTAATTAGTAGGGAAGTTTTTCATTATGTTATCAGTTTTGGCCACTACAAACAGCCCAGATAAAAGAATGCTAAAGCTCTTAGTCGAAACTGAATTTTTGCATGTTTCGGGGCTAGAAAGAACTCTTGAGCCATATAGAATTCAACAGCCTCATTTTACCAATGAGGAAACCAAGGCTGCTATGCAAAGCATGGTGCCCAAGGTCAGAGAGCTAGTAAATGACAGAGTCAAAATGAAAACCCAGGGTGCCCAGACGCCCAGATTGGTGCTTACGGTGTTTGTTGGTGGTGGTTTGTTTCTTCCCTATCTGTGCTGATTATATTCAATACACAGATGCTGATGTGCATGCCTGGGGCCCAGCCCCCAGCTGCTGTGCCACACCCTGACAACCCCAGGATCCTGAGAGAGGCTCAGCTGCACAAATTTCCACCAGGGACCATACCAGCCTCATGGATATTCAGATTTTTTTTTAGTAAGCACCTGAATTTTGTGTAACTGATTTCCACACCCATTGAAGGCGGCTTCTAAATTTAGAATTAACATCCAAAGCAGTCTGTTGCACAAATGTATACTTCCTCGCAAGCTGTTGTCAGAAACAGTAAAATTGACATCCATAAAACAGTTTCTTCATACCTTAGTGATATTGAACTATAAAAATACAGGATCTCAAGCAAACAAAGCTGTAACCATAATACCCTTTACAAAGTTTACTACCACAGTCAAGTAATGTCCAGATCTTTTTTAATGAAAATGTAAAGGTGTCCCCATCCTTATTCTCACATGACAATGCAATTCCCTTGGCCCAGCATTCCTTCTAGACACTTGTCACTGCCCAATCCAGAACTTTAGTAACTGATCATTCGTGGTACTAACCTGCACCTTATACAACAAAGCCACCTTTGCAGAAGCTGCAGCTTCACTTTCATCACTTCCTCCTTTGCCTATTCCAGTTAGTTTCTTAGATTCAGTTACACATGTCTCCCCATACCAAGCACATTCAGTTGTGCCAGGAGAATGGAGGGAGTCTTTCTTTCAAGACATCTTAACAAAGTAGACTTTGCAACGCAATAAAGTAGTGAGACTCATGGTTGATGCTTACACACAATCTTCCGTCAGAACGCTTTATCGTCCCTTGCCCAGAACAGATGGGGAAAAAATTACACTATGCCCTGAAATTTTCCATTCTTGATCTCAGCCCAAAGGTGACTTTTTTATTTTTAAGCTTGAGACTTGAGCAAAAAAAAAAAAAAAGTTCAACTATTTTTGATTCATAGCCGGGCTAAAGAAACACATGGTAAGATCCTTTTTTTTCCCAAACCCATAGGTAGCTCAAACAGTTGAGCTTCAAAAGCTCAAGCTTTCTAACTAGCACTAATAGTGTTCACAGAGGCAGCACCTCTGCAGTAATTGCAAGGCCAAAAATCAATAGCCAGGGTGAGAAGGAGCTGGGATTCCACTTTCTGGACACATTGTCCCTAATACCTCTAAATACTTAAAAGAACTGCATAGAATTCTCAAATGTTTAAGCAGGATGGTTGGACCTGAAGCTTTTCCTCCCTTCCGGGTGATAAGGCAACCCGTCCTCATCACCATTTTTTCATTACGCATCCTTTGATGCACTTCAGTCTTCTCAAGAGTCCAGGCTATACAGGGAGAATTGACAGGTCGCCTGACTGCTCTCTTCTCCCCCATCCCTCAGCCCTAGCCCCAAAACTCACCCCTCTACTCCTTCTACCCTCCCTCCATCCTGCTATTCCCAGTCTCCATAGAGGAAAAAGGGAGTGTCATGCCTAGATGAAAAGAGTTGGGGTTCAAGTCATCCCATGTACCTCCCTGGTTCCAATGAACCTCCAGAATTCTAGCCACAGATCCCCCTCTTGCCCTCTCATCCTCCCCTAACACATCCCTACACATTACAGGCCCAGGGAGGAGTCCACACAATGGGACTGCATGCATCCATCCTTCTATGGGGCTGTGTGGCATACCCACGGCAAGACTCCAGTCCCTGATGCTGGCTCTGCCACTTATGAACTGTGTGCCCATAAGCAAGTCGTCTCCTGCTCTGCAGACTGGGGCTCATCACATTTGTCCCACCTGTCCCAGAGAGCTGTTATGCAAAGTAAGGGGAATCACAGATGTGAACAGGCTTCAGAATCAGAGCTCAATATAAATGTACCTCCTTATTATTAGGCCTATGGCACAGTGCCAGGTAGTGTGGTATGTTCCTTGGGGCTAAAGTCCAAGTGATATTGGCAATAAAAGAAAGTGAATTATACCAGGCAGAAAACAAGGAACAAAAAGAGAAGAACAGAGATGAGGATCCACCAGGCTCCAGAGAAGAGTGAATCCACAGTGACAAAGCAATCAATAAAGGCTTCCTGCAAGAGGAAGGCTTTGTGTGCAGCTGAAGTGGTTCGCACCACGCTGATCAAACGTGATTTCATGGCCGGGCATGGTGGCTCACGCCTGTAACACCAGCACTTTGGGAGGCTGAGGTAGGCAGATCACTTGAGGTCAGGAGTTCAAGACCAGCCTGAGCAACATAGTGAAACCCCGTCTCTACTAAAAATACAAAAATTAGCCAGGTATTTTTTTTTACAGGTGGCACACGCCTGTAATCCCAACTACTAGGGAGGCTGAAACAGAAGAATCACTTGAACCCAGGAGGCAGAGATTGCAGTGAGCCAAGATCATAGCACTGCACTCCAGCCTGGGCAACAGAGCAAGACTCTGTCTCAAAAAACAAAAAAAAATTGAATATCAATTTTAAAAAGGTGATTTCATGCATGCCCCTTCCCAAGACCAAGAGCTCTCTGAGGGCAGGTGACAGAGATTGCAGTGAGCCAAGATCATAGCACTGCACTCCAGCCTGGGCAACAGAGCAAGACTCTGTCTCAAAAAAAAAAAAAAAATTGAATATCAATTTTAAAAAGGTGATTTCATGCATGCCCCTTCCCAAGACCAAGAGCTCTCTGAGGGCAGGTGACATGTCTTTATGTCTCAGCCTTTGCAGCGTCCTCCTGCTAGCATCCAGGTGAATGAAAAATGAATGGAGCCTTGAACTAACCAGGAACTCAACTAAGTGGAGAGGAGGAGAGACTCCCAGATAGCAGAGGGAAGACAAGCTGGGGTCAGAGGGCGGATGCTTTGGCTTAGGAGTAGAGGAGTTCAGAAGTTCAGGCTTCTGATCACAGAGGGAGGTAAAGGGAGTTCAGAGGAGTGAGTGACATCATGAAATCAGTATTTGGGGAGCTTAATCGGGCAGCTGCATGCAGGACAGCCTGCAGCAGGGGGTGAAGGAAAGCTGGCAGAGCGGCCAGGAGGCAAGGGCAGTGAGTCAGGCAGACAGTGAGAAGGGAAGCCACTGCCTCTCCGCCAAATCGCCCTCTGGGAGCACCCATCTCTGTCCCAGTGGAAGCCCCATCAAGGGTCACTCTCAGCGACTGTCCTCCTTAGGCTGGACCTTAAGTGTCCTCTAGGCCTCCTGCCCTGCACCCAGCACTGACCTCCTGCAAGTGGTTACCTTCCTCTTGTGAATCCCTCCAGGCTCAGGGATTCCAGGAATTCCCTCCCATTCCCGTTTTAGAGGACAACGCGGATGGTAAGCACTCCCTTTAAGGAAGCACAGTGATGCAGCAGCGGGTGGGGAAACAGGGAGAGAGCTTTTACTTCTGAGCACATTTTCCCAAATTGCTATCTTTCAGCATTTTTATAAGGTAATATGTTAATATGACAGTTATGATAAAAAGAAGGTAGAGGGAAAAAATGTGGAAGACAGGACCAGTGCATTCAACCCCACAGCTCAGACATGGTTCAGAAACAGATCCTGGTGCTGAAGAGCTGGGGACAGGAGCCTGGTGTGGGTAGCCTTGGTTCCATGGCAGGCCCTGCCACCAACACACTGTGTGACCTTAAGCAGCTGTGCTCTTCCCAGTCACTCTCTTCCACATGCAAAATGATGTCAGTGATAGTTCCCACCCAAGAGGGTAGTTGTAAGAATGAAATGAATTGATCTGGTGCAGTGCTTAGTCCCTAGCACAAGATAAGGGGTTAGTAACTGGTATCTGTGATGGGCACCAGGCTAGCGGTTACTGCCTCTAACATCTGGAGGCGCAAAGTCTAGCACTGTGGCTGTCCCACAGGAGGTGTCAAATGTGAGCCTTCCACCCCACCCCCCTGAAATCCCCAGATGAACGCACCTCCCCACAGCCCTAACACTCTCACCAGGGACACACAGAACAAGCCGATGTCTCTTCGCTTTACAGACCGTCAGACATGCGAAGGCAGTTGCTGTGCCTCCACAGAATATTCTCTCCCCCAAAATCTTCATGTTTTTCTCTCCTCTTATTTCTCTCCTATTCACCCACTACACAAACAAGATTAGGCAGCAGTGATAGGCAAGAAAAGATGGAAATATTCTTTAAATGGAATTACAAAAATAGGCTTTGGAAATTAATGTCTAGAAATGTACCCCGTGGGTTCTCTGGAGACCAACCCAAATGAAATCCCATTGACAGAAAGCTGCAGTCCTCTGGGGAACATCCCCCCATCCCATCCCCCAGGATCCCTGGTCCAGGAAAGATGGAAGTTGGCTTCTGATCTCCCTGGTCTCCCAGAGATCCTGCTCAGGGCACCACCTGAAAAGTCCCTCGGCAGAAGCACTGCTCGCCATGCGTGAATGCCATGGAAAGCATCTGAACATGAAGTTTCCAATTACTGCTGGCATTTCTGGAGTGTCCTGATACTGGCTGCAGCTGTCCCACGGAAGGCCAATGATGTCATCAGCAAGCCTGACCGCATTGAGTTCCAAAGCTGGGCTGGGCAGAAAGGTTCCCTGCAGGCTGAGCCCCCATCACTGGAGAGGGAGGAACCTGCTATTTCCCCCACCAAAGGTGGGCACTACTCGGGTTTGTTGCTTCCCTTCCTGGGTAGAATTGCATTGCCATAACTTGGACTCACACCGGGAAAGGTTCAGAAGCTGCACCAATGTCCAGGATGATTCCATCTGACTGCTTCTGAAAACTTACTATATGTCCAGAGTTGTTCCGGGTGGAGGCAAGCCCAGGTGAGACCTACTTTCCAAATGTTCATGTACTCACTTCGCGGCAAGAAAAAAAAAAAAATGGTCTTGCATTCTTTGGCTATAGGGAGACAACAAGAAAGGTAAAAAGGGAAAGAGAGAAACAGAGAAAAAGCAAAAGAAGCAAAAGGTGGGAAGGAAATGAAAAGAGGAAAAAGAGAGAGGGGAAGGGAAAGAAGGAGGGAGAAAAGGAGGGAAGAAGTTTTTGGCCTATGGCTAGTTTTACCTTGAACCTCCCTACTCAAGACCTTCCCACTTCCTCTCTCCTCCTCTCCCTTGCTCAGAGAGCTCAGGCCCTGGGACAGCCCTGGCAGATACTGTCCTCTAGAAGAGCTGACCAAGGAGACAGGGCACGGATGCCTGCAGAGCGATGTAACAGATTGGGCCCTGAGCCCTACAGTAGAGTTCAAGCTCAATGCAATGTTCAGATTTCCCAAGGCGGGGGATTAGATTAATTGGAATTTGCAGGCTGTGCCCAACGAAGATCCGTATCTGTCACCATGTTAACCACATTCAGGCCCCTCTTAAAATCAGAACGCCGCCATCCATCACCACCCCGGTGGAGAGGCACGGCCAGAGCCTCGCAGTCCAAGACTGACCTTCTGGCTGGCAGCCTACCTTTCAGCCGCCAGCCTCCTCCATGGGCTTCCAGATAAGTGTGTGTAACTCTTGAGCAAATCCTAGTCCCTGGAGGAACTACCGCAGTTATGAACACAGTCCCTTTGTTCATCTCAGGAGCTGATTTAATTAAACGAGAAACTGTGGACCCTTCCTAAGGGAGAAACTATTTAGTCTCCAGAACCAAGGAAAGTAAAGGGAAAAGGGAAATCCAGATCCTTTCAAAAACTATCTAATTGAACTTTGGGAGCAAAACCATGCAGTCAGATTACACAAGAGGATCCAAGGGGCTGCAATGTAACCCAAGGTGACACAGCCATTAAGTGAAACACTCAGGTCTGAGGTAGGGCACCCTTTCCAGTGCATTATGACACATTTAATCCATAAAACTGCGTAAATTATTTTTTAAAAAACTGTCTTGGGTCAGATGCTGTGGCTCACACCTATAATCCCAGCACTTTGGGAGGCCAAGGCAAGTGGATTGCTTGAGCCCAGGAGTCCAAGACTAGCCTGGCCAACATGGTGAAACCCTTCTCTACAAAAAGTACAAAAATTAGCCAGGCATGATGGTACATGGCTGTGATACCAGCTACTCTGGAAGCTGAGGCAGGAGAATCACTTGAACCCGGGAAGTAGAGGCTGCAGTGAAACAGGATTGCGCCACTGCACTACAGCCTGGGCAACAGAGCCAGACTCTGTCTCAAAAAAAAAAAAAAAATACTGTCTTTGATATATCCTTCTGAGAATTGCTATCTTAATGTTGCTCATAAAAATAACTTACAAAAATGTGTGCCAATTGCTGAAGATCTTATCTTCAATTTCAGTTATTCTATTTTTTGTTTCTGGAAGTCCTATTTGTGTTTCTTCAAATCTCCATGGATTTTAAAAATTAGTCTATTGTTTCTTCCTCATTTGTTTCAAACATTTAAAATACATTACCTATTCCATTGGAACTATATCTGAACCCCTCTGGAATCCGATTCTTCTGTCTGTTGTTTCTGCTGACTTTCACTCATGGTGACTGGTTTCCTCATCTGTTTTGGATTTTGAGAGTGAAAGCTCATGCTTGAATGGCTGGGTTTTACCTACAGGAATCCATCAAGGCTTGGGCTACAAGTATGTCCCTTCAGAGAGAATGTGCATTTGATTCTGACAGGCACTCTGGTGTGACCAACCCCAACCTCCCTCCAGTTAATTTTGCAGCGTGGCGTTTCCTGGGTCACCCAGGCAGTATAAATTCAAATCCCAAACTGCATGAAGGCAGACTGACAATTACAAATTCTCACAGGAAACATTGTTCTATCCTTCTACTCACAAGCCAAAGCCAAAGCAGATAAGGACCCCTGTCTTCTCCCTTTGCCCCCCTGCAGATGTCTGCTGGACCACCTGTGCCCTAGGGATATACTCCTCCTATAGGGGAAAGCTTCAGACAAGAATCTCATTTTGAACTCCCCACCTGGCAAGGGTCCCAGATCTGGTTCCCTGGGTATTCTAAAGGCCATGCTTTCAATCCTGGCTTAAAGCCTGACATGCCCTCCATCTGATTTATTGTAAACACAGCAAAGTCTTTCTTAGAGCCTAGATCTGTGCTTTTTCCCCGACCTAATTTAAAGCTAGATACACCTTTCTCTGGTCTTTGGAGCCCAGAGTCCCAGGGCCTTCTAAGGCATAAGCTTTCAAAACTTTGAAATGTAGATGTGTTTATAAGGAAAGAAAGCAGCAGCAACAAGGTTTTAATAACCTATAAGGCTAATGGAAGGGAGGAAAAAACGCACATGCCTGTGTAGTCAGCAATTCCGATTAAGGAGCATCTGAAATGCTGTAAGAAGGAAGAACAAAGTGGGAAATATTAGAACAGAGCAGAGTGGATGGGGAAAGAATCTACAAAGACTGCAGAGACATTTTTCTCTGTCTCTGTATCTTTCTGGGCCATTCTTCATCTGCAGGATGTCAACATAAGAGGTATATTTCACCCCATACACACATGATGTGGGCCAAAAGTTGAAAATTAGTATAGGATTAGAAACTACAATTCAGAATTTTAAAAAGAAACCAGGCAACACCCAACACCTTATCCAGGTACAGTTTCCAGCAGGCTTCATTGTCATCACTCATTTCGTCCTCACAAAAGCCCTCAGAGGTGCATTTTATAACCATTAATGGCCAACCTTCTGATAACCAGTCTACTGTACTTTCTCACATCTGGCACCACTTCTTATCAAAAAAAAATTCATTGATTAATCAATAATACGTTGGGAGGCTGAGATGGCTGGATCACTTGAGCCCAGAAGTTCGAGGCAGTCTGGGCAACATGGTAAAACTCCGTAGCTCCAAAAAACAAACAAACAAACAAAAATTAGCTGGGCATGATGGCATGTGCCTATAGTCAGCTACTCAGGAGGCTTGAGCTCGAGAGGTCAAGGTTGCAGTGAGCCATGATCATGCCACTGTGCTCCAGCCTGGGCAACAGAGTGAGATCTTGTCTCAAAAAAAAAAAAAAAAATCAATAACATGCACATGCTGTAAATACATCTCTAGGTCTATGATTCCTCACTCAAAATCTTCAAAACTAGATGTGTTTTAGAATTCCAACTGTTTCGGGTTTTAGGAAATTATTAAGGTGAATCTCTGAGGTTTGGGCGGCACATCATAATCACACACACTAACATTTCTTCAATGACATATGACAATTCAGATTAAGCTGAATGAATGAAGACCGTAAGCTGCCTTGCAGTTCAGAGCAGCTTCCATCACCACCAGCCTCTCCATGAATTAGGTAAAAACACTCACTTTTCAGAGTTTGGGGGACTTCAGATTGGGAATGAGGTGGTGTAGAACTGGATACATAAGTCATCTCTCAAACTATCTTATATTTAAATCCATCAGCTTAAAAGTCCTTGGCACTGAGTCTCAAAATCTTCACTCTGATTCTCAGAAGGGGCAGAAAAGAGCAGCGACCAGAAGAGGAGAGGAACATGAAACAGGTGATGGCCAGAGAGAGCCCAGTGGGCCTCCCTGGGAGCCATGGTGTGCAGTGTGTGCATGGGCGGAAGGGAGGCATTGGCATAAAACCACAAGACAGGTCAGACATGGCCCAGGAAGACTCTTAGCAAAGCCTCAGGTGTAATAGCAGTGGCAGGCTGGGCAGCGGTAGCCCTCAGGACAGTTGCATTTGGCCTCAGATTTGTGACTAAGAGATGCATAATATGAGGCAAAACCTCAGTGTCCTCCTCTACAGCAGGAGAGCTGGACCACAGCAGCAATTTCAGAAGGCAGGCCTCAGCCCCCTGGTCGACCAGGAAATCTGTGTTAACAGGTTATGAGCAATATTTTGTAAGACAATGGAATGGAATGGAATGGAATGGAATGGAATGGAATGGAATGGAATGGAATGGAATAGAATGGAATGAAATAGAATAGAATAGTCCGTACCTCGCTCAACAGGGACAGAAGCTCCTGTACTCAGGACCCTTCCAGACTCACCCTATATACCCGTCCACCTGCCTGTTCATGCATATCCTTTATAACACTCTTTTTTTTTTCTGAGACAGGGTCTCGCTCTGTCACCCAGGCTAGAGTGCAGTGGCGCAATCTCGGCTCACTGCAACTTCCGCCTCCCAGGCTCAAGTGATTCTCCCACCTCAGCCTCCCGAGTAGTTAGGACCACAGGCGCGTGCCACCATGCCAGGCTAATTTTTGTATTTTAGTAGAGACAGGGTTTCACCATGTTGGCCAGGCTGGTCTGGAACTCCTGGCCTGAAGTGATCCACCCATCTCGGCCTCCGAAAGTGCTGGGATTACAGGCATGAGCCAATGCACCCAGACCTATCCTTTATAACATTCTTCATAATGAAAAGATTATGTCAGGCTGCATCTCATGTGGTAAGGACAGCCGTTGTTTCAGGAACTTTTGTTTCTATAAGACATATATATATAAATACCTACATGTGTATATATATATATATAATCTAGCAGAATGTATCCACATGTATATATAATACATAGATATAATACACACGTATATACACAATGTATGCTTTGCACACACAATGGTGCTTTAACTGTGGGATGTGGTCTAAAGACTTTAGGATTTACTGTGCTAGATGACTACCTCTGAATCTTTTTAGCACAAACGACCTGTGGATTGTTTTTTCTGGTGTTGCTGAATCCAGGTATTCTGTATTAAAATCATCCCAGACTGAAAATCAAAAAGAAATCTCGCTGAATTCTCTGTTTTTCAGGATGTACTTTAGCCCCTGGGACCTGCCTTCTAAGGTCTCTGCCACTCACTTATTGTGACCACTAGGGCATCTAGATAATCTCTGAGCCTTTAGTTTCTTATTTCTGAAATGCAGAGGCTGACCATCACAGACCTCTGAAGAGCAACTGCTCACATAAAATTGGAGAAATGACGACTCATAGCTC